ACTCTACTCTACGCTAGTTAGGCCTCAGTTGGAGTATTGTGTCCAGTTCAGGGCACCGCATTTCAAGAAAGATTTGGAGAGGGTCCAGAGAAGAGCAACAAGAATGATTAAAGCTCTAGAGAACATGACCTATGAAGGAAGGCTGAAAGAATTGGATTTGTTTAGTTTAGAAAAGAGAAGACTGAGGGGGGACATGATAGCAGTTTTCAGGTATCGAAAGGGTGTCATAAGGAGGAGGGAGAAAAGAAGCAATGGGCTTAAACTGCAGCAAGGGAGGTTTAGGTTGGACATTAGGAAAAAGTTCCTAACTGTCAGGGTAGTCAAACACTGGAATAAATTGCCCAAGGAGGTTGTGGAATCTCCATCTCTAGAGATATTTAAGAGTAGGTTAGATAAATGTCTATCAGGGATGGGCTAGAACAAGGGTTCTTAACCTTTTTACCTTCACACTTCCCCTGAAAGTGAATTTCATGTTCACACCACCCTGGGAGCCATTTTGTGCACAGCCTAGCCCCGTCCCCTCACCTGACAGGAAGCTAAGGGGCGTGGCTAGGATAAGAACTCTGCCAGGGAGCTGAGTCGGGGCCCAGCCTCTGAGGGAGACAGAGGCCTGCCCAGAGCTCCTGGTTGATGAGACCGAGACCTGGCCCGGGCCTTCCACAGCCGCCTTCCCTCAGGCCAGCGAAGGCTTCCCTGCCTGGGCCACCGAGGCCTGGCCAAGCCGGCCAGCAGGGCTACCCTCTGACTTAGAGGAACCCAAGGCTCTACTGGTGCCTGGCAATTCGGAGGACCGGCCTGAGCTGAAGACCCGGCTCGAACCCCGAGGCCTGCCTGAACCCTGGGACCTGGCGAACTAGCTGGATGCTGGACACAGCTGTCCGAGCTAATTCCCATGTCTGACAGCTGGTGGCACTGTGGGGTGAGTGAACCCCGTTACAATGCCTAAATGAATAATATGAGCTTTTTACTTTGAACCTTTTCCTAACAAATTTACGTAATATTTGAAGATGAAAGTCGGCAATGCTCGCGTACTGTTATTGTAGTGTGTCGTCCCATAGGCCTGATTACAATAGCAGTGCGAATCAGTGTGCTGATCTCTAGAGGTTAATAAGAAATTAATGTTTATAATTTTAATTCATAACATTAATTATGAAGCAATCTAAACTTTAGAATTTTATCCAGTGAGAAGGCAATTGAGAAATTTTCTGGGAGGCACCTCACACCTCCCCTGGGGAGGCACACCTCACTGGTTAAGAACCCCTGGTCTAGACAGTATTTGGTCCTGCCATGAGGGCAGGGGACTGGACTCTATGACCTCTCGAGGTCATTTCCAGGCCTAGTATTCTATGATTCTATATAGTAAATTAAAAAGTTTAAGAACTTGAGTACCATTGTAATGCTCCAAACTGAATACTTCTGTTCTCACAACAGATGCATTTTAATTTTGCTTAGGATTTTATAACCACAGACTTGTGTCTCATAAAAGGAAGCCTCTACTTCTTGGTACAGAATTAGGTGATAGAAGGTGCTGCTATTGAACAGACTGGGAAAAAATATCTAGAATTAGAACAGCCAATGAATGCCACTTTTCTAGGAATCTGTTAAGATTTAAGTTGTGCCAAATTTGTTGTAATGAGTTTCACCAAGCCTTCGATTGCACTTTGATGTACCTGATGTGATTGATGACCCGTAAACAGAGTTGGTGTTTTGATAGGATGGAATTTGTTCGCTTGATTTTTGCAACCTCACTTGTGGTAAATTTTGGAGTTCTCTGTTGGAATTTTTCACATGACTAAATTTTGTGGACAAATCAATAAAGTTTCTTGCTTAACTATTTGTGAAGAAAGCTGGTGAATTCATTACTCCCAGACATCAGGGTTCCATCCATATTACTACATCAGAAATGCCATTGGCCAGTGAATATGAACTTGCAAAAACATTACTTGACTATATTTGGCTTAGCGTACAACAGATCAATTCTCATGGAAGCAGTGATTAAATTCTAAGAAACCACCAAAACAGGATGAGAACAAATATTAAGAAACAGCTCAACCACATTATGCAATTTACAACTCAACACAGAATGGCAGATTTTCAAGGGAGACGATTCAAGAAACCAACCTGTTATGTCTTTAATGATTTAAAACCATTGCCAAATTTTCTGCAGTTATTAAAATCCTATTTAAAGAATGATCACACACTTTCTATATTTCTGCCTTTCCTGTTCCATCCATGATGTTAACTTCACATATAGATATGTTTATTAAAAATTATGGTGTTATTTAATGTATGTCCAGCCAGTGGGGCAGTTGTGCTGAATGATGTGACTTTGATTTTGCTTATGAAGTGGACAAGCCTAAGGGAACAAATCTGACTAATATTCAGAAAATCATTGTATGCAATGTGCTACAGCTGTGTAAGTCCCGGGATATTAGGGAGACAAGGTGGGTGAAGTAATATCTTTTATTGGAACAACTTCTGTTGGTGAGAGACAAGATTTTTGAGCTCCATAGAACATTTCTTCAATTCTGGGAACAGTACTCTGTGTGCCACTAAGGATGTTAAGTATCAGGTAACTGACTAACCAAATAGTCAATGCATTTTTGCATCTACTATTCAATTACAGGCAGTCCCCGGGTTACGTACAAGATAGGGACTATAGGTTTGTTCTTAAGTTGAATCTGTATGTAAGTCGGAACTGGCGTCAGCCGCTGCTGAAACTGATCAGTTTCAACAGTGGCTGAATCTGGATGCCAGTTCTGACTTACATACGGATTCAACTTAAGAAACCCAGGCGTCCCCAAGTCAGCTGCTGCTGAAACTGACCAGCGGCTGATTCCAGGAAGCCC